ATCAAAATTTTACAAATAGAACTGGAGAAAAATCAAAGAGCTTCCCCTACAATACTATTTTCTCAGTTATATTTTACTCATTTTAACATGGTTAATGGTAAAGGTACATTACTAACTCAAATATTTGATAGTTGTGTAAAAAAGAGCAGTGTATTAAGAATGAGCTGACTGTTTTGTTGGTTTTGGTGTCTTGCTATTAATTTTTCCATTTTTGCTCTTTTCCACTCCCTAGTTCCACTACCGCCATTCCCAAACCACCCCTGCCAAGTGCTAAAGCTGAAAGATGTGGGCAAAGATAGCCTTCGAGTAATTCAGGCAGAGACTCCATATTTTAGGGGGTATGTGCTCAGCCCTTAGGATTAATTGTAAGGCATACTATCGGTCACTTCATAAATTGAAGAAATAATTATTTTTTCTGCTTCCTATAAAGTCGTCAAAAAGAGGATTAAAGGCTCACTAGAGATACAGGGTACTGTGGAAACCAGGTATAAAGCCTCACGAGTCACTCTTCTTGCACTCAGCAGCCCAGTCAGATGCGCAGTTACTGTGACCAGGAAGGCTGCACACATTCAGCTGAAGGTCGTTTGTAGTCCTGTGTCCCAGACCCTACCTCTTGCTGAATAGGAAGCGGTATGGAACCTTTCTAGACAAGTTGCACCTTCTGCCAAGGTCGTAATTATCTCCAGCTTCTCAGTGAGAAAAGAGAATTGAAGGCTCATCAAAGTGGGAAGAAAAACTGAAGACACACACCCCAGTATATTTAAGCTGGTGACTAATTTTTGTTCACTAACTCAGAATTTTCCATGCCTTCCCACCCCCTTTGTTGTCTTCTGAACTGTTACTAGGGAAAATTTTAATTGGTAAATTTGAATAAGAAGAAGTATATAGAGAAATGAAGAATAAAAATAGAAAATCAAAATTAAGGAATGCAGAGCCCAAGTAAGTGTGGAAAATATGAAGTCAAATAGCTGGAAAATACTCAATATGCCAGAAGACTTCTAAAAACAGAACCCTTTTGAGAATACATTAAGTTAAAACCAAAAGATCCCTTCTTGGTATGCTTACTTAAAAAAAAAAAAAGATTGAACTCTTCGATTTAAACTGAGTATCCAGCATTAATACATAGGGTAAAATACTTTGAACTTGTATGAGAAAACCACAGAAAGGTTAAAAAAATCAAGCATTTCATACTTATTTTTAGGTTCATTAATTAACTAAAAGACTTATCCCCTGTTAAGCTGATATATAATTAAGGTATCTGAGTACAAAGAATTTTTCTGTAAAGCTAAATTAGAATGTAGGAGGCAGAAATCTGAGATTTTTCAGGTACTCTTTTTTAAAAAAAGAAAACATAAACTTCTGAAAGCAAGCGCCTCTCAGTAAGTTACTGCACTGCTGCCACGGGCGGGCACTCAGTCAGGGCCGCTGGCCTAGAGACAGAGAGACAAAGTTTCTTTCCACATGAGTTTATAATCGAAGAAGGCTAGAATAAATGTTTCCTCAGTTTGTTTATTTTAGACCTCCACTCGTTGGCTGAGTTTTCTGGTGAGTGCAGACTTGACCAATGGAAGCATGAAGGCCTTTTATTTTAAACTAAGTAAGAGTGAGTGGTAGGGACACCGAGCATACTTTAATCCTTTTAAATCCCTTTTTAATTATGTAGAATCACCAAATGATCAAGGCAGCCACACTGACCCAGAATGCAGGCTCACTCTCAGGGCTTAGCAGTCTCAGACTATTTGATCTGGCACCCAGGCCCCGGTGCTCTATCGTCTTTGGCACCATTAGTGATTGAGGTTTGATCAACCCTCACTTCTGAATTTTAGGAACTTGTTAATGTTCAGCGTTAAGCACCTTTAACCCTCCACACAACCTCTACTAGATAGGCGCTGTTCTTATTTTATAGATGGCTGGGTAGGGGACTTTGAGAGGCCTGCATGCCCGAGTTGAGATCCGAGTCCACCCATTCTGGCCTGGGCACCTGACCTTGTGAGGATCGGTCTGCCAGACGGCAGCCTTTTATGCACATTATGAAGCCCAAAAAGCTCTAAAAACTGAAGTTCTCTTTTCGTATTTTTGATGCCAAGATTCATTCGTGGCAAAGCCTGACCTGAGCTGACCTGGGTGGTGGCTTCAGTCCTGCGCGGGGTAGAAGCGCAAAGAGCCCTGCAGCTGTGCTGTGTCTCTCACGTCTGCATTTTACAGCGGACGTATATCCTCCTTTTCACCTTCTTGGAGAGCAAAGACCTTTACATCCTGCGACCATCTAGTCCGTGGGTTTCCAGAACAGACCCTTGCCCAGCACTGCCCCTCACCTTACCCTGGACTTTTAATTTGCTGCCTCTGATGTGCCAGCGATGTGGAAATTTAATATGTAAACTTTCAATACCCCGACACTCAGACCACTTTTAAAAATCTTAAGTTCATACTGATACTCCCAGTTTCAACTTCTTCCCGTTCCCCTAGCTTCCTTCTCCTATGGGGAGAATTTCAACATTTCTTTTTAAATGTCCTTTCTGTGTTACCAGTTTACAAAGTAATTGCCCTGGAGATGAAAATGGAGCTGTAACATGAACTTAAATAATAGGGCCTCCACTTTATTTTTATTTTTTAAAAGTGATTTAAAGAAAAGTTTATTTATTTATGCATACAGAACTGGGGTACAGGCCAGAGATGTGGTGGGTGAGAGGATTCACCAAAGACAGAGTGGGGAGCAGAACAGGCACACTGACGATATACACTGCTGAGGGGAGCAATGGGTGGGTTAGGAGAGGTCTGCCTCGCCATGTGGGTCAGCTCCCTGGCTGGGGATCAAACTCGTGGGGATCAGTTGTGGCTAGCTTCATAGTGTTGAGCTTTAACCAGTTGCGCCACCAGGGAGGGCCTAGGGCCTCCATTTTATAACAAGATTGACTATGGCTTGTTTTAAAATCTCAGCATTTTAAAAATGTTTCAAATGAACAAAATAATTATTTCAGACATTGTGTTTACATTTCAAACTATGTATTTAACAATATGGTTAAATGGGAAATTCCAAAAACATTAAAGAACAGCATTTTTAGTGGATGGAGAAGATTCATCTGTATAAATCCTGGGTGTAGGGCAGGTTTAAGGAATGATGCTAAACACTCAGTGTTCATCCTCTAAGGCCAAGTGAATGTGAAGAGAGCAGATGTGGGGAGGGCCTCAGTGGGGTGGTGCACCCCTTTTTCCTCACTTTGGGGTACTTGCTGTAGGAGAAAAGTGAAAGATGAAATCATCAATTAGTTAAAGTATACTCACTTACTTAGAGTGAAGCGGGTGAGGAAAATGGAGAAGGGGGTGCAGGGATCAGAGGAGGAAGAAAACTTGTAACAACGGATAGCTTTCAAAAGGCAGGTTCCTTTAGTTCCAATCTTTTTCAGTAGGAGAGGAGAGGGAAAGAACTAGAACGTAGCTGGGAAGTGTTAGAAACTTGGGTTTTCCTCTGAATCTCATCTGACACCCTTCTCACATTTTGAAGAATGGGAGAGTCTGGAAAAGAAAAGTTTTAGGTGAGTCCTGCGCCCCCCTGTCTGGCCCGGGTTCTGAGGTTCCCCACTTCAGAGCAGCCTCCAGGGACTATGGAGAATTGGTAAGGCTCCTCAGCCGTCAGAACCGCAGGGGACAGGAGCGCCGTGTTCACTGAGTACCACCGCGGTCAGGCTCCATTCATGTTATCACAGCCTTTGTAACAACTAGTTTCTTGTTGCACCCCTGTGTTCATAGCAGCACTGCTCACAGTAGCCAAGTCATCGAATACTGTTGAAGTATTCCACTGGAAGCTATTGAAGGTGAAATCACGCCTTTGGGGACAAAGTGAACGGACGCTGAGGTGATGCTGCTGAGTGAAATAAGTCAGACAGGCAAGACAGTATCAGGTGGCTGCACTCACTTGTGAAATACAACGAACAGATACTAGTAAAGCAAAGCGAAAATAGTTCTTAGACTGTGAAAAACAAACTGGTTCCCAGAGGGGACAGAGGGAGAGAAGGAGATAGGGGAGAGGGGAAAAGAAGGGAACAAAGAGAAGGGGACAGGTATGGCACAGGAGTAGTGATGGAGGGTGAGTGAAGCATACACACATACAGAGGCCTGAACTATACCCCAGCGTTGTATAGACTTTAAACAACTGAGACAAGTTAATTTGAAAACGCAAGGTTTCCACATCAGGGCAGCTGAAACTCGGGGAGGCTGATTGCCAAGGTTCCCCAGCCCTCGTGCGGAGGAGTCGGGGCTGGGGCGCATCCCTGCCCCAAAGCTCATCCCTTTCTGTCTTGCCCCTCACTCCCATCCCTCAACCGCTATTGGGGATCCGGGAAGGCTGGGGTTGGAGGCACCGGGAGTTCGGGGACTCTGTTCCACGGCAGCTGTGGAAGGGTCTGTCTCTGTGTCCTCCTTGCACAACTGTGCCTGTAGCTCAGGGCAGCCGGCAGAAGACCCCCTCTCTGTGCTCAGACATGCCATAGCAGACCCCTCAGTTCTGCACCACTCGTGAGCATGTGTCTGGTTCACGCGGGGATTGAGTCTCAGTCAGGGCTGGAATCAGTGGCTGCTTCCAAGAGCCACAGAGCTCTGGTTCCTGAAGAAACTCATTTGAAGAAAATCTTAGGAAACAGCCAACACACAGTAGGTGAATATTTGTGGAATGAATGGATCAGTTGCCTTCTGGAAACCCCTATGGACAAGAGTGGATTTACACATTCTACTACTTTCATACTTGGCAGTTTGCCCACAGTGTTTATTTGAAAACAAATCCAGATTATATCCTAGGTCACTTTTATGTCGCTGCTGGTAGCACCAGGAATGTATTTGTGTTATGGAAAAAAAAACTGCTTTTAACATTGCCTCTTGGAACGTCTGTGCTTTTCCGTTATAATTAAATTATTTTCTTAAACTTGCTATTTCAGAGGATAAAATTTCGCTCGAGGCTGAATAGTTATTTCATTTTCTCTGCCTGATCGTAAACTGATAAGCATTTTCTTCTCTTCGTAGGGAGAGATAATGCATGTGAAAAAACATCATACATGTTTCTACGAAAGGAGCTGCCTGTGCGACTCGCAAACACCATGAGGGAAGTTAACCTTCTGCCGGATAATTTGCTTAACCGGCCTTCGGTGGGATTGGTGCAAAGCTGGTACGTAAATAAAGTGGCATCAGTTGTGTCTTCCATAAGACCCTGAACACTGGCCATCGGGACCATTTTCCCTAAAGGTATGCACACTGCCTCCGTGGGAGTGAGTCATTCAGAAGAGCACGACTTTCCCCACAATTAAAAGTTTCTTTAAAAAAAAAAACAAAAAAACAGACCATTTAAAGTTGTCTTATTGAAAGGCACTTTCTTGACTTTTCAAAACTTTTTCTTCTGGTGATAAAGGTGATTGAACTTTGCAAAACAAAGCGGAGAGTATAGAAAAACAGAAGAGTCGCTGCGCAGTGCCGAGTGGACAGGTGTGCAAGCCTTTGCATGATGGCCGTTCGCCCCCTTGGAGCGGACTCAACGCTCTGCCCTTTGTTTTCCTTTTAAAGGCATTCCTTGAAGGCCTTCTTTCTTTTTAGAGAAAATTAAGTCAGGCTGGAAAAATATCAGTGCCTGCTGTACTTCATTTACCTTGTGAAAAGGTGGAAACTCTTAGCGGAGTACAGCTTCAAGCCCAGCCATTAGAGCTCTGCTGCTTCAAGCATGTGTTATTTCATTGAGGAAGTTGAATCTGTGACTCAACTACCTACTAGGCAGCAGGGTGAGGTCGGTGAGCTGTAGGCTGTAAGAGCAGGTGGTGTATTTTTAGAAGGGCATTTGCATGCAATGGAGAAACACTTGCAGGTCTCCTATTATAGAAACAAGGCAGAAACACTGTGGAGAAAGCTGGCGATGGGGAGACCACAGTGAAAGGAGCTCTGAAGCCAGCAGAGGACGCGAAGGAGGGGGGCAGAGGGGCGCGGAGGGGCAAGGTCTCAGCTGTGCTTCCACACTGCCCCTGGACAGCTGGGTGGAGTTGACAGGGACAGGGCGAGCACTCTCAGGGAAGGGAGTGACGTGGAGAGATAGAAGGAGATGGAACTGTTAATTAGTCTGCATTTAGAAAGTAAGGAAGGCCTGGTTCCTGAAAGAGAACATTCCAGTCATTTCTCAGTATTAATTCCAGCAACTTTTCAGGGCCGAGAATGAGAGGCTGGGGAGCGCCACTGTGCACAGTTCTAGTGACTCAGGGTGCAGGCGCCATCGCAGACAAGTGACAGCTTCTCGCTGTGGGAGGCGCAGGCCCTGGAGCCCAGGCGAGATCAGAGATATGGCAGCCGCGGCTTTGATCTCACAGGCACTTGTTTCCTACTCGAAATTCATAGCTTGTTTCGGAAGGAGCAGCAAGCAAGTACTTGTTTGCCTGCGATTCCTTTATTGCTTCAAGACCAGCCTTAGAGCATTTCCTGCAGAAAGTATATAAGCACTTGTGGGGGCCACCGTCATGGGCTGCCTGGTCCTGGTGGCGGTGATAGCTAATCATTTACTATTGCTGATGGCACATTTACTTCAGGGGTGGGCTGGCACAGAATAGATCCAGACAGAGCCTTCAGTAGGGTCACTTATCATTATCATTTGCAATGTCTGTTCTCTCATCCTCGTTCTTTCATTCTCTGCACATGTGAATGTCACACACGTGCACCTATTTGTGGTATTCCACACACACAGTACACACATAGACAGGCACACCTCAAAAATAGTGCAAGTCAGGCCGCTGCAAGCAAGCAAAGGTAGCAACAAGGCAAGGCACACAAACTGACTTCCCAGTGCATGTAAAAGTTCTGTATACACTACACTTTGTTAAACATGCAGTCACTTTCGGTCTAAAAAAAAAATGCACCTACCTTAATTAAACATGGCCCAGAGACGTGATGATCTCTGCTCAGCTCCGGGTCGCCACAACCCTTCCATTTGTAAGTGGCAGTGCCTGCAAGGTGCAGCCCGCTGAGGTGTGCTTGTGTGACACACGTTGTCTTTTCCTGACCCACTGGTTAACAGTAGATCTCATGTCCCTTCATCCCTACGTACCTTGACATGTCTTTATCCGTAGAATCACTTTTAGGAAACCACAGTATGATCATCAAATTTGGAAAATTTAATAGTGATACAGTAGCATTTTTTGAGTATGTAGAGTTGGTTCTCATTTTACTAATTGTCCTAATAGTACTCTTTTTTTAAAAAGCACACCCCTGGCGCACACCCATTAAGGCAGCCAGTTCAGGAGCGTGCGTTGTGCTTAGTACTTCCTTTTAAAAGTGAGTTATATATATAATGGGCCGTGAGCCCCACCTCTCTCAGAGTGTTATCTTTGCTCCCTTGACTTGCAGACTGGAAGGCGCAGTACAGTCTTTGACTTCTCTCCATTTATGACCTTGCTTTTTTTTTTTTTTTTACAAAAGTTTATTTTTACATCATTTTGTACATTTTTTTTTCCATCTCAATTGTAATCCCCGCGGGTTTCCCATCACCAAGTCACCCATGTGCCATCACCATAATCCCGTGCATTTCCCTCCCCGGACCCCGTTTTGGATCCCATTCCCCACCCCACCCCCACAAAATGTCTCTGGTATATGGTTGTTCATTATTTTTGTTATTTTCCACCTGGGTATGACCTTGCTTTTTAAAGGTACTATCCCCTTCCGGAAAGATGGCATGCCTGCTGGTATGTGGCAGGGCAGAAGGCATTGCCCTGGATGACTGGCTGCAGCCTCTCAGGGCGGTTTGCCCCGATGACTCTTAACAAGATCTGATCCATAGTTTTATATGCCCAGAGGCTTTAAAAACTATGCTCAGAGATGAAGGCACTGAAATACCGTATATTGTCACAAAGTTCAAGCAAGGCTGACTAATAAGATGTCATTCCTGTTTATGTGTTTGTGTGCTTGGTCATTTTCAGTTGTTGGAGTGCCCTCACCTCGGCAAATTTGGTGAACAGTATTAGTGGCAATTGATTGAAATAATTATCCTAAAGGATAATTCTTCTAGGATGTGTTAAGCCCCAAAGCGGAGATCACACCCCTCGAAGAAATTGGGATCTCTGAATCCCCACCAGACCCTGCAGGGCCTCTGGGACGCAGCTGCTGCGCTCATGTGCCTCCTCGCCTCCCACTCTTCTCTGTTGTCCAGATCTTTATGTCGGACCCTCTGTTTCTTGTATTGGCCCTGACTGAGTTAGGTAGCTATTGGTATTGCAGAAGCTCTCCTGAGGGCCTGATGACCATCTCTTCTCGTCCATTACATGTTAATAAAAATTTTAGTTTAACTCTGTGAAGGAGTCTTCTTAATTTCTAATTTATAAGTTCTTAGCTTGCACTTGTGTCACACCTGTGCTTCTTGTAGCTTATATCCATTTTCCTGGGTAACCAACCCACAGACTTGGTGAACCAGTTAGGTATGCTTGTAAGTAACAGAAAAGCGAACTAACCCTGGCTTAAAGCTCATTGCATCGTGTGACGCTGAGATCCAGCCACAGGGTGAGCTTTTGGCCTGAGTTTGACCGTGGTACTTAGAGAGGTTATCCAGGCCTGTTTTTCACAGTGTCAACTTCATTTTCCGACTGGATTTCCTCCTGGTGACAGAAGAGCTTCACCAAACATGCACGTAATGTAAGCTGCAAAAATGGCAAGTTCACTGATCTCCCAAATCGCCTCCAGCAAGCCTTGCCTCTTATTGGCTTGGACTGAGGCAGCCTCCCACGGCTGAGCCCATCCCTCTGTTCAGGGGAAGGAAACTCAGAGCAGGCTTAGGCCTAGATAGTTGGGCTCATGAGTGATCAGTGACAAGAAAATTAGGTTCCCCAGAGAAAAACTGTGCCACCCAGGAACTCGGCTTGCCTTCACTTGGGCTGCATGTGGAGAGGGGAGAGAGGGTAGGAGGGATACCTGAGTGAAATTTGGGTTACTCTTAGGAGGAGGGAAAGGTGGAATAAAAGTTGGGAAGGTAATTAACATAGTGACTCTTCATGTTTTAGGTATATGCAGAGTTTTCTTGAACTTTTAGAATATGAGAATAAGAGCCCTGAAGATCCACAGGTCTTGGATAAGTAAGTATGGTGTCAAACTTACCTGAAAGTAAAAATATCTAGGTAAAAAATGCTTTGGTAAGTGGGGCTTATATCAATAAGAACCAAGAAATGCAGTTTGTGTTATTTAATGGGTAGCAACTGAACATTACAAGTTTTAAAAAGTTAACATTAAGAATTTGGGCCCTCCCTGGTGGCGCAGCGGATTAAAAGCACAGCACTAAGGAGCATAAGCCACTTCCGCAGGAGTTTGATCCCCTCCTGCCC